TGTTACCAGTACATCATCCTCTTATAGCCTTCTCAACTTTGAGTTTGTTCCGTTTATAGCTATTATTACTGGTTCTTATCTGGTCTGATGGATTCAAGACTTTGCTTATGTCTTCCCTGTTGATGTCCCATCATCTACTTGAAGACCGCTATCATGCCTACCCCTCGACCTCCTGATCTCCTGGTAAATTGCCGATCAGGTTTCCTCGACCTGCCCTCGTATGGGAGTTTCCGAATATAAGGGATCAATTTGTTCATATTTAAGCTATATGTTCGTGGGAAATCGATGTCCAGCTCTGCAATGCGGTTATGAGAATTGGTCGGCATAGTCAAGCGGTGTGTGTGTGTGTGTGTGTGTGTGTGTGTGTGTGTGTGTGTGTGTGTGTGTGTGTGTGTGTGTGTGTGTGTGTGTGTGTGTGTGTGTGTGTGTGTGTGTGTGTTTGTGTGTGTGTCTCTCACCAGGGCAAAACTTTACTGAAAGACGATGTGTGTTTATTTATTGATGATTCTTTTCTGGTTATAAACTTAGATATAATACAGGCAGAGTAATGCTTACCGCTGTGCGGCTGGTTTCATAGTCTTGACGCCGACTTGCAAGAAGCGAGAACGTCTCTGTACCGATCAGTTCAAGTGGCTGGTACTCTCCAAGCAAGTGGTGAGCCGATTATTTGCTTAAGAGGCTGGACACACACACAACCAGGTTTTTCTTGAGTAGGTGAAATCCAAGCCCAACGTGTATCTTGGATTAATTGTCTATAAATCTATAATGCAGAACAGTATACGTCAATGAATGACATATAATGTGTATACTTTAAACCTTCTAAACTGTTGTTTACATTGTAAACAATTGCAATGTTGTATTACCTGTACGTGAGGCCATACAGGTAATACAATGTTGTATACCTGTACGTGAGGCCATACAGGTAATACAATGTTGTATTACCTGTACGTGAGGCCATACAGGTAATACAATGTTGTATTACCTGTACGTGAGGCCATACAGGTAATACAATGTTGTATTACCTGTACGTGAGGCCATACAGGTAATACAATGTTGTATTACCTGTACGTGAGGCCATACAGGTAATGCAACATTGTATATCAGTACACGATCACAGCATTATAATGTGGCGAGGTCAGACTACAGTCTGCTGTATCCTGACATTGGCACTGACACCGCATTTGCCTGGGAAGTCCGGGGGTTTCAACAGGGAAGATGCAGGTTCGATCCCATTGTACTGCCTCTCACCCTGGTCTAGTCGCTAGTGTGTGTGTGTGTGTGTCTAGGACCTCCATTGACGCAGGTTCGATGCCATTCCATTCCCTAAGGATGTTCACAGATACATCACATTAAGCTGGAACATTATTAATTTGTTTAACAGGAAATAGCTATTAATTTGACACCATGTAAACTAGGTTAATCATGCGGATCAGTATTGATATTTTTCACTGATTTAGTTATAATATTTATATATGATATCATACTTACCACTTTTTAAATGTTAGTTTCTAAATAATTGTTTAAGTACCAAACAAAATTAATAAATATTATTCATGTTTTTCTTTAATTTTTTTTGTCAAATAGATCTGTTTCTCGGCTTAAGAAAATCTGTATTTAAGTATCATGGGCAGCGAACACAATTATTAATAATTGTGAAAACCAGCGATTGTTGATGGGAGGAAAGAAATTCGCACAATAAATTATTGAATGGTGATTGTTGATGATTGATACACGTAACCACAACATACAATCACTTCAACAATCCTCCTTCAACTTCTCCTTGCATAATAAATGTTCACAAACAGAACAGTTCTCGCCTGCACAAGTAAAGACACTAACAAGTTATAAACATAGAAAGGACTCGTCATTATAATTATAATTAGCATTTCAACTAATAAGATCATCATATTTAATAAGGCTATAATTAGCAGGATAGCCAACGGGCTTCTGAACCATATTTAACGCTCTTAAATTAAGAACATCATCTGCTCATTAAATATTAAATTTACGTAATGGGATAGTATGCCATTACCTGGAGTGATGAATATTACTGACTAGTTATCGCAACATTTTCATATAGATTACAATGAATGAAATTTTAATATATGAATAGTTAAGGCTAAGCTCAAAGCAAATGAGATCATGGGAAAACCATTAGCCAATAATAGCTCTTTGAGTCTGATTTCTGTGTATTATTCTTATTGGTTTTCTATTTTGTGACACATTCCATATATGTGTGATAGAAAAGGGCCATATAATACATACATACATATATATATATATATATATATATATATATATATATATATATATATATATATATATATATATATATATATATATATATATATATGCGAACAAGCCTGAATGGTCCCCAGGACTATATGCGACTGAAAACTCACACCCAGAAGTGACTCGAAGCCCATACTCCCAGGAGCAACGCAACTGGTAACTACAGGAATTAATTAATCCGCTTGACCATCACGACCGGACAAAAGGAAGTGATAGCCGAAGCTATTTGAACCACTTCCCGCCGGCACTCGGATGGTAATCTTGGGTTATAGCATTTTATCTCCAGTATTTACCAGTTGCGTTGCTCCTGGGAGTATTGGTTCGAGTCACTTCTGGGGTGTGAGTTTTCAGTCTATATATAAAATATATATATATATATATATATTCATATATATATATATATATATATATATATATATATATATATATATAATATATATATATATTATATATATATATATATATATATATATATATATATATAATATTATATATATATATATAATATATATATATATATATATATATATATATATATATATATATATATATATATATATATATATATATATATATATATATATATATAAATAATGATTTGCATAGATCATTTTTGTGTCATCGTCCAGGCTTACGGGGTTGAGTTCAAGCTCCTGGACCCGCTAAGTTTATTTTCGGGGTTGACATCCAGCTGCTGAACCATTTATCTGCTAGTTATGTTGTATAAGGTTGAGATCCAGCTCCCAGTCCCGCCTGTCTGCGTATACACCGTGGAAGTTGTTTACGATCTCTTGGCCTTGTGACTCTTCTACTCTGGGGTGTAGGTAGAATGTCTACCTTCCCTCTACCTCTCCTCGTAGCTCATTCTACTTTCCTCGCTTGCCTTATGCCGAAATTTTCTTCCTTATGTCCCTCTGACTAGTGGGTGTTTCAGTCCTGTACTGACTTTCCGTACTCCTGACAACAGCTGTCTATCCTACTTTCTAGCCCTGTCAAATCCTTTTCTAACTTACCACAACCTGCTATAGTCTACACTACTCCTATATTACCATGCCTGGTTATCACCTATATTAAATTACAATACTAACTCTTGCTCTTATTCACTGTAAGCTTCACTAACCTTCCATACCCCTATGGCCATCTCCCCCTCCTCCTCCCTTGTCCTCCATAAATCATTCATTCACTGACCCTAACAACCCCCTCCCCCCCACAACCTAAATTATCCCGCCCCGGTCTAATCTAATTAAGATAAACTAGAGTAAAAACAGAACTATAAATTCGGGGCTTGACATCGCCAGGCTGAGAAGAGACTAAGGTAAAAAAAAAATAGAAAATTATTTGTAAAATATTTTGAGTAAATAATATTGTGTGGGTGGATATGTGTGTTATTTGTTGTGATTGTATTTATGTGTGTGCTGTATATATTTCTGTCTATCTGTCTGTCGTCTCTTTCATTTTTTTGTTTTTTTTTTATAAATTCAACGAACTCTTTCCGCGTCTCCTGCAGGTCCTCTGACGGAGGTCTTCGCTATACGGGGTGGTCGCACTCTACTACCATGTGACGTCACACCCTCTACACCAGGGGACGCTCCTATCCTCGTGCTCTTCTACAACGGAGCCACCGGCCTTCCTATATACAGGTGTGTAGACACGGTGGTACATGTTTCAGGTGTGTATATATGTGTGTGTGTATCAGATGTGTCAAGCTGCCGGTGTGTGTGTGTGTGCGGGTGTGCCTTGGTAGGTCCATAGAGTAGCAGGTCCATAGAGTGACAGTGTAATGGGGACGGGGTAATGACTCTACTTCGTCCACTACTCAGCCCTTAGTTAACTAACCCAAAAACCCCAGAGCTCTACAATGGCCTCCAGTCCACTTCTCGTGATCTTAGACGGTTGATCGCCTTAGATACTACACACACGAACACTGTACTGGCCCCTAGCAAACTCGAATACCTCCTCAGCTGCCACCACCTGAATTCGCTTACTTGATTTGCTCCCTAATTGACAGTGAAAAAGGAAACTGTCAATTAAATAAATTATCCACATATGGATCCCCAATTAATTGAAAAGGGAGGTATGAAGTTACGTTAAGTGAGGAATTAAATTGAAAACAATGGAATATATCCGATATTATATAGACTAAGCTTGCTTGGAAATATATATCGACAAACTCGGCTCATGGATTCCGCGGCCAAGACAATCATATATCCTTATAGGTGAACTCAAAACACAGAGCCAACAACAAGTCACAAGTTTATTAAGTCACAAGTTTATTAAGTCACAAGTTTATTTATTATTTCCTGTTATATTCGAATGAATATAACAGGAAAACACTCTCTAAATTGAATATATTCCTACTGAAATAATTCCTAAGAGGCAATGAATTAATCAACTGTACTAAACTTCTTAAGCACGTTACCGTAATATTTCTAAGCTCAGCCTGATGTTCGCCTGGCTCTTGTAGGGGAGATGGTGACCCCAGATGCTCCACGCCACACTGTCTAGCCTGCTCTCTCAAGCTGAGAGACTGATCTAAGGCTTAGTTGCCAAATTAATCTTCAAGGATGATTAACAAAGATTAATCTTGTACTGATCGCTGAAGGCAGTTTAATCATCATTCCAAAACAACTGGAAAATTACCTAGATACTTGAGCAGGTAAATTATTGAATAGAATATTGAATATTAACTTGAATTTCTCTACGTTACTGAATTAACAACAAGATGGAGTCTTGGAGTAGAGGGAGGGGGGGGGGGGGGTGAGACCAGCCTCTTGCTGGCTTCCTGACATAAGGCCGGTGCTGCCAGTTCTACGTGAGTCATCTGCCCTCGAACGAAAAAAGGGGATTTGATTCTTTAATCATAAATGACGTTAAATTAATCTACGTACTTGATGAAAAAGGTTATTATACAATTATTGTATTTATTGAAATATTCATCGCTGTTGAATTAATACAAGGGAAACAGCCATTTTGTTTTCTATCCTCGCTAATCCCTTAATCTCAGACAAGTGACCTTTTCTCGGCTAGTCAGGTCAAACTACTCTCTTACTCCAAGGTTGTTCACATAGTATAATTTAACCCCCTATGATCTGAGACCCATAACGTCTAAAACAAGCATCGCTTGTTACAACCCCCTCCAGCACAAGTACATTTAACAAACCTTGTTTTTTAATAACATTAAAACATGAGGTTTAATATCCAAACCTTACTTTCACACTAGTTAAAACCCCATGCCTCTACCAAAATCTCAAAAAGCTATCATCTCTAATATTACAATCAGCAAATTTTACAGCAAAAATCATACAGACAAAATTGGAAATCTCAGCATACGTATCCTGACTGTCAGCTGACAACTCAGCAATTATTCAAACCTCTTTAAACAAAACATCCTATACCTGACTGACATAGCTGAATGCAATATCCATAATCTGTCCGCAAAATCTAGCTAGCAAAAGTCATTGGCTCATCATTAGCCATCCACGTGTGCCCTCTAGAGCAGGACACACACAATTCAGAACAAAAATAAAAATATATATACAGACTGAACTTTCAGTCTTCCGGGAGAGGACCACTGAACTCCACAAAGTTCACTCCCGAGTTCCATTCACTCCCAACACAATGTCCCCTTGACATTATTCCAATAAAAACAACATACATACATATCTATTATATATATATATATATATATATATATATATATATATATATATATATATATATATATGTCGTACCTAGTAGCCAGAACTCACTTCTCAGCCTACTATTCAAGGCCCGATTTGCCTAATAAGCCAAGTTTTCCTGAATTAATATATTTACTATAATTTTTTTCTTATGAAATGATAAAGCAACCCTTTTCTCTATGTATGAGGTCAATTTTTTTTATTGGAGTTAAAATTAACGTAGATATATGACCGAACCTAACCAACCCTACCTAACCTAACTAACCTATATTATAGGTAAGGTTAGGTTAGGTAGCCAAAAAAAGCTAGGTTAGGTTAGGTTAGGTAGGTTAGGTAGACGAAAAAACATTAATTCATGAAAACTTGGCTTATTAGGCAAATCGGGCCTTGAATAGTAGGTGAGAAGTGCGTTCTGGCTATTAGGTACGACATATATATATATATATATATATATATATATATATATATATATATATATATGTCGTACCTAGTAGCCAGAACGCACTTCTCAGCCTACTATGCAAGGCCCGATTTGCCTAATAAGCCAAGTTTTCCTGAATTAATATATTTTCTCTAATTGTTTTCTTATGAAATGATAAAGCTACCCATTTCATTATGTATGAAGTCAATTCTTTTTATTGGAGTTAAAATTAACGTAGATATTTGACCGAACCTAACCAACCCTACCTAACCTAACCTATCTTTATAGGTTAGGTTAGGTTAGGTAGCCGACAAAGTTAGGTTAGGTTAGGTTAGGTAGGTTAGATAGTCGAAAAAACATTAATTCATGAAAACTTGGCTTTTTAGGCAAATCGGGCCTTGCATAGTAGGCTGAGAAGTGAGTTCTGGCTACTAGGTACGACATACACACATATATATATATATATATATATATATATATATATATATATATATATTTATATATATATATATTATATATATATATATATACTACTTCCAAATCATAGGTGTTAGCTGAAATTTCAGCTGTAAATGTTCGCACTCTATCAACTGAAGAGTGTAATTTTTTTTTTGTCCGCCCTTCCTGTTTTCAATACACTGAACAAGAAATGGCACATGTTTTTCTAAAGCATTTTGTTCATGGCATAATGCAATAGTTTTTTCACACAAAGGGTTTTTAATCATTGACCGAGTAATATGTGAGACATTTTACCATATTTCACTTTCAAGAATACCACTGACTATAATTCTTGTTTTCAACATTTAATCAATATATGTCCAGATTCACTTGACTAGGTATTCAGAGTACTACTTTAATATAATTTAACAAGTATAACATTTACTTTACTTTTCGCCCAAATGTTCTTTTATAAAAAAATTTCGATGATGTTGTTAGATGACTGACGGCTTCCTCCAGTCGTTGATGTAGAGATCCCTGGTCCTCTTGTGCTCCATTCCCCGTACTTTCGAAGGACAACAGAATGTCCCAGAGCCGAGCGCCCAGTGACAGCTGTAGATAACTGTCGCTCGACCATTGACCTCGCTCAGGAGTTCACGAATCTTCATACCATTCACAGCTCACACGGCAGTCTCGATGGAAATGTTGACGGTGCAGATGACCACAGGAGAGCGGGACTGGACGTACTAACGGTGTCTCGCGACGGAAGTGGTGTCAAAGGGTCGTTGAGGCGGGTGGCGTGTTTTGCAGAACAGGTGAATCCCGACTTCCATCATGGCTCACGTCGTCTCAGGCGTTTCTTGATGTCACCAGGTTACTAGGCCGTAAACACCATCCGTGTATACCCTCGTACCGCTGACTTTAGGACAAAGGAGGCAATTTTGCGACCTTCTATGGCGAGTCGCGGTACTTTGCAGGGAGACCGTGCCGTTATCCCTGTGACCGCCTTAGTTCCGCATTCTTGTTATCCAGACGACGTAATCATCGATCTTCCGACGAAAAAGATGAGTACTGCTACTGGCTCGCCCCTTCTCCTGACCTCTCCTCCAACACTGTTGGTCTGGCTACAGTCTTGACGACACAGCTGGTGGGTAGTGGTGACCTCGAGACCGCTACCCACGATGGTGGTAGACGTTGACATCCGGTTACTGCTTGAATGTGGACAGCATTATGGCCCTGGCAACCTCGATAGTGACGTGAGGTGTTGGCCGGGTGACTCGTATAATGTCACCCTCCCCACAGTAACTAATTAACGAGTTATTGGGTGTGGTGGGGGAGGACTTTGTGTAACGTGCCTCCCCCTTGGTCTTTGCAGACTAGGGTTCACGTGTGGCTGGAACAACTGGACAGGTATACCAATCAGACCTGGGAACAGACAGACAACAACATGGCGGAAGCATAGATATAACTCTGGGTTTGTTGGAAGTTAGAACGCCAGAGCACGATAAAGTCTGCTACCCGAGTTAAGTACAGTTAATAAATCCACATCATAGCCTCTACAGGAAAATCTAATGAATTCTAAAATGCTACTAAACCAAGGGAGTTACTTTACTGTAACTGTACAGTGCGAGATCGTGTTACCATGGGGTGACGAGACTGCACTTGACTACTGATGAGAGTTGACAGAGGGTCATCCTCTCCACCTGACTCGTCACTTGAATCATTAGTCAGCACCGCTGAGTCAGGAATTAGACTCGCTGAAGGCAGTTCTAATTCCTCTCTAGCATGATACTGTTTCAATTCATTAACATGGATTGTTCTTTCCACTTGGTCCTCAAATACCCTTTTTATGACAAGATTGACGAGTCCCGAGCTTTTTATTACTCAATATGGCCCCCGCCATCTAGGAGCTCGTTCTCTACTCTGATTGGCGGGCGCAGCCTCATTTACTCTCAACAAGAGGCTACCTTCCTTTAACTCAAGGGGCCGCACTTTCTTGTCATAAAAGTGAGCATACCGATCCTGTGCTTTCTAGGAAGTTTCAGCCGCAATACTCCAAACATTTCTCCTTTTACTGAGAAGGATAGTCCTCACAGTATGC